TAAACAGAAAATACAGTAGGAACAATATCAAATACACAGAGCTTCTTACAGTACAGGCAATAACAAACAACTATTACCAAAAAAAAGTACAACAATAAATACATACAATGCTGACATACTTCATAGCTAAATATTGTAGTTTATTTAGAAAAGCTGGTGCAGTGCGCCTGTCTATATATATATATACTACTTTGAATTGGTCTTGCGCTCTGCCATCTCAGTAGTTTACACAGGACTGGCGTGAAATATGCATTGATACAGCTTTATTATATATGGTATGTGGTTTATTTAGAAAGATTAACTGTTTTTGTGCTGTTTAGCGCTCCTCTGTGCGTTCTGAGAGAGATCACATCACATATACAGTTCCTACACTCACCTCTTTCAGTGTATTCTTCCCTGGTTTTTGTTCTCCTCTTTGATTCAAATATGCTTTCCCAGCATCCCTCAAAGCCTTCCTTACTCTGTCCTTCCAATTGTTCATATCGGCTCTCCTTTTTAATGTCCAAAGTGTACATGAGAGCAAGCAGCATCTCTATTCTTCTTTTTTTCCGTAGGACGCCATATTAATGTTTAAAATGCAGACTTTTAGTTGAGTGAAAATATCTCCAAACTGTTTCTGTATACAAAGTTCACACATACAATTAATGTCAAATGGTTACCTCATGACTTTTTTTTTTTTTTTTTTGGACTTATACGGTTGTTTGTTGCACACACTCATTTAAAATGTGACATTTTAAGGTTTTCTTTAATGTAAAATGTCAGAATATAACTGTGTAAAAATGTTTTCCATAGGCTGTATGTTTGACAAAGTTGCAAGGCACTTCTATGATGACACTTGTGTGGTACCGGAGAAGGCGGAGGGTAAGTTTTTATTCTTTATTATATTTATTTATTTATATTCTGTTTTATTATTATTATTTTTATTGTCTCTATTTTTCTAAAATGAATGACTATTTTTGATGGCCTTAACATGTTCGCATATGCACTATTACAATTTACATGAAGTGAAATATAATTTTCATCTAATATTAGTCTCGTTATGATAAAATGGCTCAATAGCGCCACCTATAAAATTTCAACAAAGCCCCTCTTGTGCAACATTTTACATACATTTATGATATTTACTTTTTAATTTTCCTTCAGCTTAGTCTCTATTTATCAGGGGTCGCCACAGCGGAAGGAACCGCCAACTATTGCAGATGCCTTTTCAGCCGCAACCCAGTACTAGTGAAAATTATTTATAAACTACCAAAAAAAAGTTTCTTGGTTTAAAACACTAAACACAGCCATTTTTAATACTCTTTGCAAATTTGCTTGCAGTTGTTGTTATTTTCGGGCATTATATGAACAAGTATTAGGTTTATCCTTTACACTACAATCTTTAGTGTGATTCACCAGACATGTCATTCACATATAAAAAAACAACTTCAGTTTTCATTCATTTCAGTTTGAAACTTTTTTGCGCCCAGCTTCACCACCATTGTGATGTTTCTCCTAGCATTATGGGATTTAGTTATTAAAAGCTAATGGTATTATTTGGATATATTTCCGTCCGCAGGTGACATAAAGCAGGAGGCGGGGCTTTACCGTGAAGGGCCGACCTATCAGAGACGAGGCTCTCTGCAGCTCTGGCAGTTTCTAGTGGCTCTGCTGGACGATCCCTCAAACTCACATTTCATCGCGTGGACCGGCCGGGGCATGGAGTTTAAACTCATTGAGCCTGAGGAGGTACTGACTAATTGAAATATAACTTTTCTTAGGGAAGATTATATTTGCATGGGGCCTTCATGAGTTCTGCAGACTATAACTGTGGAGTTATGAACATGGCCTTGAACGGTTGGATTTTTTTTCTATAATATTCTGGGTCATTTAAAAAGACTTTGAGAGCATAGACTATTTAAAAGCGTTTTTTAATCATTCTTCTAAGTGGTTAGCACCATTTCCTCTGGGCTCAGAGAACAGTACAATATAAAAAAAAAAACTGATAATTCATGACCACAAGAAAAGCAATTAGTCGACTTCACTTTAAAAAAGTAAACCTGTTGGTTTAAAACTAATTTAATGAACTACACTGAAGAAAAAGGTAAAAGTGATGCATCACAATACAACTATGCATATCAAAAAACAAATCAAATGCTTGTCATAATCATAACTTTACAATGCAAGATGATAATTAAAATGATGTGCGCAGTTTTGGTTTCACTTTCACTGCCGAGTGCAGCTTATGTCATGGCTGCCGTCACTTTGAGGAAAATACCATACATGCAAATCATACCTCCCGTGCGGCTCCCAAACGATCACTCTGTAGCACAAACTGAACGTTATTTACAACTTGATTACCTGTTATTCACAGCCTATGCAGGCTATGTTCAATAAAGTATACATCATTCGCAGCCGCACGTGCATCCTCTCAGTAGTAAACAAACAGTGCGTCAGCTCATGTGGGATTTCGCCGCCGCGAATACGTCATTGCATGAAGACAGAAATGACATTTTTGGGTGAATTATACCTTATAAATACAGTATGTGACTCTTTTAACGCCATTTAGAGGTGTGCACATTGCTAAGCAAAATATATAAAACATCATTAAGACTTCACAACTGATACTGTATATATGCTTCTCTCTCGATCTTGAAAATATAGCTGAATGAATTGTAGAGATGCTGAATTAAGATCGTGTGGGGGGGTTGAATCGATCTTTTTTAAAATTATCGTGCAGCCCTAGTTAAAAACCCCTAAAAAAATTCTAAAAAAAAAAACAGTTGAGTATAAAATCAAATTAAATCAACTTAACAGTTCTAAGTTACAATGGGTTTACTCAATTACTCAAGTAAATTATAAGGTTTTACACTATGTAGGAGCAGATCTAACATGATCTGGAGGGTTTTCCAAAGTTTACAGTCTATAAATTTATATAAAATCAATTATTTTATTAATGATTTTCTCAAAATTAGAAACAAATTAGTGTACTTTATTCAAATTAAAGTGTTTTTTTTTTTTTTTTTTTGCTTCATCTGCAAGATTTTATTCCTAGATTGATTATTCAAAACATCACAACAACATCAACATCAAACATCAACGTTGATTATTTAAAAACTCCAGAGTGTAAAGTGCCGAAAGGGGTGTGTCTGTGTGAATTAACAGTGAGATACCCTACTGTGAGTGTATGTGTGTGTGTTGGCATGGGTCCATGGGGCAGCTGTAGGGAACAGGGCAGTGTTTGTTGGCATCAGGTGAATGAGGTGCAGTAGAGTGAGAGAGGCGGACGGGGCACAGGTGGGTGGTCTCGAGGACAGGTGCAGGAACATCTGCCACCCTCCACTCGCCCTAATGAACACATCTCTGACTGCAGGTATATGGGTACATCTGTGGCCCACCAGAGGGTAGAGGCGCTTTAGCAGAGCTTTGTGTGTTGGAGACGGACCCTCGAGTGGGATAGTTTTTTAATTAGTGGAAAAAAATGTCATATTAAATTCAGTTATTATTTATTTTCATAAATCGTAACAAACATGTCTATTGCACATAAGGCAGATTTTACATGTATTATTTGTTTAATTATAATATAATATAATATAAGGCGAAGCAGTGGCGCAGTAGGTAGTGCTGTCGCCTCACAGCAAGAAGGTCGCTGGTTCGAGCCTTGGCTCAGTTGGCGTTTCTGTGTAGAGTTTATTCTGTGTGGAGTAATATAATATAATATAATATAATATAATATAATATAATATAATATAATATAATATAATATAGGGCAACTTGGTGGTTCAGAGGTTAGCACTGTCGCCTCGCCGCAAGAATTGTTTATGAGCTGTTCTACTGACATTGTTCCACTGTTAAAACAATGAACAAGAGCTATTCATTCAGGTTTATTTGGTGCCATAACAAGTAGTAAAGTGAAAAAAATTATGACTAGATTTGAGGTACTTAAATACATTTATATGTGACAATAAAACTACCAAGAATTAAATACAATTTTTCAAAACATATTCAACAAAGCTACTTAAAAATATATGTTATGAATATGAATACACAGTATTAACATATAGCCAAAAAACACAACCATTCCAGATTTAAAGTGAATAAATATGCAAGTAAAATTGTCAAAAAGTCCCCAAACATCCATATTGTGCATTAAATGGTTTTGTTTAAATTTGTTTAACATTTTAAAATGTTTTGTTTTACTAAAAAACAGTTTGAGTTTAATATCGAACATATTTTGAAAGATAGCAAAACATATTATTGAGGAGGTGTGCTATTTAATATATAGTGAATGTTTAAAATGAAATATCCATTCGTTGATTTTCTTTCGGCTTAGTCCCTTATTTATCAGGAGTCACCACAGCGGAATGAACCACCAACTATGTTTTACGCAGCGGATGCCCTTCCAGCTGCAACCCAGTACTGGGAAACACCCATGCACACTCTCACATTCACACACACTATGGCCAATTTAGTCCAACCAATTCACCTATAGCGCATGTCTTTGGAATGTGGGGGAAACGTAGCACCTGGAGGCAACCCATACAACATGCAAACTCCACCAAGTCACCCTGACAACTGAAATAGCAGAAAGTAAAATATTAATCTTGAGACAAAATTATACTTTGATTTTAAAGTAGAGGTTCCAAACATAATGGTTCAATGTTTTCTGAAAAATCTGTTTTAATTCTGTGTGAATATGTGTAAAATGGTATATTCAGCTAATGTGTGAGAGAGCTGTTTGTTTGTAATGCCTCTTTTACTTTTGCATCAAAGGTGGCGCGACGTTGGGGAATCCAAAAGAATCGACCCGCCATGAACTACGACAAACTCAGCAGATCGCTGCGCTACTACTATGAAAAAGGCATCATGCAAAAGGTAACACAAGCTAATGTGTTTTTTATACTAATGATGCTAACATTCAAATGTGATGCTAAGCTACATTAATAAAATCATCAAACATAAAAGGACTCAATTAAATTGATCAAAATTCATCGAAACAATCCATAATTTGAGCAAAAATATTAAGCGTAACTGTATTAAACATTAATATTAAAGTATTTCTGTATTTAAAAAAGCATTTTAACTGTGTGTGTGTATATATATATATATATATATATATATATATATATATATATATATTAACTGTCAATATCTTTATTTATATATATTTATAAGATTTTTTTTAGCACAATTCTAAACATAATAGTTTTAATAATTCATCTCTAATAACTGATTTATTTTTTCTTTGCCATGATGGCAGTTCTGATATTTGACTAGACATTTTTCAAGACACTTGTATACAGTTTAAAGTGACATTTAAAGGCTTAACTAGGTTAATTAACTAGGCAGGTTAGGTTAATTAGGCAAGTTATTGTATAACGATAGCTTGTTCTGTATCGAAAAAAATAGCTTAAAGGGGCTATTAATATTGACCTAAATTGATCAAAATTCATCGAAACAATCCATAATTTGTGCAAAAAAATTAAGCAAATCTGTATTAAACATTAATATTAAAGTATTTCTGTATTTAAAAAAGCATTTTAACTGTGTGTGTGTGTGTGTGTGTGTGTGTGTGTGTGTATATATATATATATATATATATATATATTAACTGTCAATATCTTTATATATATATATATATATATATATATATATATATATATATATATATATATAAGATTTTTTTCAGCACATTTCTAAACATAATAGTTTTAATAATTCATCTCTAATAACTGATTTATTTTATCTTTGCCATGATGGCAGTTCTGATATTTGACTAGACATTTTTCAAGACACTTGTATACAGTTTAAAGTGACATTTAAAGGCTTAACTAGGTTAATTAGATTAACTAGGCAGGTTAGGGTAATTAGGCAAGTAATTGTATAACGATAACTTGTTCTGTATCGAAAAAAAATAGCTTAAAGGGGCTATTAATATTGACCTAAAAATGTTTTTTTTTTTTTTTTTTTAATAAAAACTTCTTTTATTCCAGCCGAAATAAAACAAATAAGACTTTCTCCAGAAGAAAAAAATATTATCAGACATACTGTGAAAATTTCCATGCTATTTTAAACATCATTTGGGAAATATTAAAAAAAATAATAATTCAAAGGATAAATATGATTTCAACTGTATAGATGTGATTTTTTTCACTTAACTTACACTTTAAGTAACAAAAGATGTATTCATTTTGAGTTTTGATATTTTAACCTCTGTATACATTAATGTTGAAATGAATGTCATTGCAAAGTATTTTCTAAGTCTCTGTCGAAACACGCAGTTAACATTATGTCTTGTGTCCTCGAAGGTGGCAGGCGAGAGATACGTATACAAGTTTGTCTGTGACCCCGAGGCTCTGTTCTCCATGGCCTTCCCCGACAATCAGCGTCCCGTGCTGAAAACCGACCTGGAGCGACAGATCAACGAGGAGGACACCGTCCCGCTGTCGCACTTTGATGAAAACATGGCCTACATTCAAGAGGGAGGATACTGTAACCCACACCCATACAACGAGGCCTATGTCTACTGAAAAAACAGTCATTCCCCAGGACAAAAGACAGCACTTTATGGACAGATGGCAGTGTGTAAACCTACAAACGTACTGGTGTAGTTGCGTTAGATGCTCCTTTGGTGTTTTTTTTTTTTTTTTTTGGTTTGTTTTGGTTGTTGCTATTGAAGGGGATTGGGCGATTCAGCATGCCGTTTTCCAACAGCGAAAGACTCTCAAAATGGACAGAGGATTCAAACTATTTAGACGGAGAAATCCTAACCTCTTTTACCATCAGAACTCTTCGGATTGTTTGTGGAGCACTTTGTTATTTTCGCAAATTTGTTGTGGGTTTTTTCCCCTCTTTCCTCCCTTGGTGTCAATTTGAGTAAAGAATACAGTGTATGGAAATAAAAACTCTCAAACGCAAAGTAAAATGAGCACATTAGTGACCCTGGATCACAAAACCAGTCTTATGTGGCACAGATATTCAGCTTATTTTTGACATACACAGATATTTATTTTTTGCCGCAGCCCGTTTTTGGCTTGAGACTTTCAGTGTCATTCACTTACACTGAATTTTAGATGTTAAAAACAGCTTAATATGCTCCTCGATGCTGCAAGCTGACGGTTTATTATTTTATTATTCTAACTTTTATGTATAGTCATGAACAAACCTGTAACGCATGCACATCCGCCTTGTATAATACGGTCAATACCAGTGTTGGCAGATGTAGCTGACTGATTCCAGAATAAAGCTATCAAAAATCTGCCGAAATACAAAAACAAGCGCCCAGATATCTGAAGGTTGTTGTTAAACCGCCCAATTTTTCTCTACCCCCCTATGTGATTGTTTACTCACACAATCAAATTTAAAACCGCCCAACCTGGCAACACTGAACCCCTTTACATATTGACTACTGTATTGATCAAAGTTTCCATTAAACTTGTCCTAAAACTATTGAATAACAATCATTCTTGTCTCAGAAAAATGTTTTTGATCCATTTCAAATGTTGACTACTATATTTTTTGACAATAACCCAAATACACTGTACTAATTTCAAAGTTATAGATTTTTATTTTATGCCAAAATAATTTAAATATTATGTAAAGATAATATCCCATTAGGCGTCGCAGTTGGTAGTGCAGTCGCCTCTTAGCAAGAAGGTCGCTGGTTCGAGCCTCCGGGTGCTCCGGTTTCCCCCACAGTCCAAAGAAATGCAGTACAGGTGAATTGGGTAGGCTAAATTGTCCGTAGTGTATGAGTGTGAGTAAGTGTTTATGGATCTTTTCCAGAGATGGGTTGCAGCTGGAAGGGCATCCGCTGTGTAAAACATATGCTGGATATGTTAGCGGTTCATTCCCCTGTGGCGGAGGGACTAAGCCAAAAAGAAAATGAATGAATGAATGAATCAATATCTCATGAGGATGTTTAATAAATTTCTTGCCAAAAGCCGTTATCTTAATACTTTAATTTTTAAATGTTAAATAGTAGTTGTTTCTTGACCAAACATTGTCAGATCATTCTCAAGGGAGAGCTTATTGATTCAGATTTCAGATTATGTAAAAATCTCAATTTCAGGAAATTGACCCTTAAGACTGGTTTTGTGGTCACATTTGGTCAGAAAAATAGCCTTTAGGCATGCTTTTCTGTCCATAAAATAATGAAATACAACAAAACATGTTAAAATGTAGTCCACTAATATTGGCACCTTTGATAAATATGACCACAGATGCTGTAAAAATGTTGCCTTCCACACAATTCCTTCATGTTGTCCCAACAGAAATTGAGTTATCTTCATTATTTAACAAAATTTAAGTGGATTGAACTTGCAAAAAACTCAAAAAAAATGCAAGAATTGAGTTTATTCAGCTTATTTGAAGTAAGATGTTTTAACAGAGAGCAAAAATGATTTTGCTCAAGATATTAACATAAATAACTGCCCTCATTAAGAATTAAAGATGAGCAAACACGTCACGATTTTTATCAAAATACGAATAGCTTTGTTAAATATAAGTGTCACAATTATGCACCTATGAACTCAAATAACCGAAATATTTACAAAGAATATCTTTACTCATAGCTGTCACGGTGGCGCAGAGGGTAGCACGATCGCCTCAAAGCAAGATCACTGGTTTGAGTCCCGGTGCGGAGTTTGCATGTTCTCCCCATGTCTGCGTGGGTTTTCTCTCGATGCTCTGGTTTCCCCCACAGTCCAAAGACATGCAATATAGGTGAATTGAATAAGCTAAATTGGCTGTAGTGTATGTGTGTGAATGCAAGAGTGCATGGGTGTTTCAAAGTGTTTTGTAGTGTCTGGAAGGGCATCCATTGCGTAAAACGTGCAGGATAAGTTGGCGGTTCATTCCACTGTGGTGACCCCTGATTAATAAAGGGACCAAGACAAAAAGAAAATTAATGAATGAATCTTTACTAATTTCATTAGGAAATTATTTAAAGAATGGCAGAAATTTGAGAAAACAATAATGAAATTGTTAAATTATTATTATTATTATTACACAAAAAAAACACGAGCTCCTTTAGTTTTGTTCTTTGCATTTTTAGAAAAAGATCAAACAATAATAATGAAATAATACATTTTGATCATATCAACAATGGGTGCCAATATTATTGAGGGTCACTGTTTTTTTTTTGGGATGAGATATTCACTAATATCCAAGTTATACCCCTATATAATTTTTTTTGCATTCCTTCGTAATGTATTAAAAAGCATAAATGAAAAAAAAAAAATCCCATTACCGCATGATTTCGTAAAACTGCTCCAATTTTGTTTGTTTGTTTACTTATCCCCCGTCAAAGTCTAAATCTGTATACTTCTGTAACAACACCATCTTTCACTGAAAAGCGCCTATAGATATCCAATAGTTCTCTTCAGACCGATCTTGTGCAAGGTGCGAGCTTCACACATTTCTATGATTAGAGTGACAAATTGCTTTTTTATTAGGGAAAAAAAGTGGATGTTGGTCCATTATCGCTCTCCCATATGCCATTTTTGAAAATATAAACCATGTATATTCAGGTTGATGCACCTCGATGCTGCTTTTCGTGTAAATTTAGTCACGTATGATCAGACGGCAGCTATGCCCTGCAGTACGTCCATTGTTGTTTTCTCATTCTTTTTTTTTTTTTACATGGAAAAAAACATCAGTGTTTATTGAATGTAAAAAATATATACATAATTGCGAAGGGAATGGCAATAGCTACACTTCTGTAATAAAATAGTGTTGAAATACAACTGGGTTGTTTTGAAGCGTGCATTTTTGTTAATCTTTGGGCCATATTTTAATGACAAGCAAGCAAATAAGCAGTAGTTCATACATTTATTCAGGTTTCAGATCCATATTAAACTGGCAGAAATAAGATTTGACCTTTTTTATTTCATTATGCTGAATTTTACTGTAACGTTGCTTGCCAAAGTTGTTTTTTTATATGTATCTGTCTATTTTATGTGTTTTTTTTTTAATTCATTTTCATTTAGATGTTCAAAGAGAAATGTTAAGATTTCAGTGTAAATCGTCTTTCCCGGCTCAAATTCAAGTAATTTTGTTATGTATTTCTGTCATATTTGTTTATTTATTCATTTATTTATTTATTTTATAAATGTGTGTACAAAGCTTTTGATCATTTTATTTATCAAAAATTCAGTTTACTTATTTTGGCACATCAAATTCAACTAAATAAAAATGAGAACTATTCCCTTGTCAACAGAAATAAAAGGTGTTTATTTATTTATTTAATTATTTAATTTAATTTCTGTCAAGGTTTAATAAAATTTCAAGCAACAAAAATGGTTTTAGTTTAATGGTTTTAGTTTATAAAATAAAATTATTAAATTATAAAAGGTGCTGCTGTCAAAATGCTGCCCACAGAAAATCTGATTGCCATTTAGGGAACCAACAAAACAATCATCTGTATGATTTCAAATATTTTATTTTTTTTTTCATTTGTTTGTTTTAACTTGTGCAGTTTTCTAAATATCAATGTACTTTATTTAAATATTTAAAAATGCATTTTTATTTTAACATGATTACATTTTGGTCAATCATGTATTTCCGCATAGTTTATTTAATTTTTCTTATTTGAATTGACAAATTTTTGGTGTTAAAATGTTTGACAAAGTAACTTTTATTGATATTTTTGCTTACTTTAAAATGATACACTGACTACATTTACATGGACATCAGTAATCAAATTATTTGCCTTAATCTGAATAAGACAATAATATGATTGAAGTTGCTTCTTGAATGTTTCTTTCATGATCCAGTTTTACGTTACAACACATAGTTTGATTAATGCCATTGCGTCACCGCGCTATCCACGTTTCATGTAATTTTGGGTGTTTCATTCTTAATTTGTCGACTTTAACTGCAGTTTGCCACTTTCACTTTCATTGGGAATATTTCATGCAAGCCTCCAAGATATTGGATGCGAGTATGAACTGCTGGAAGAGTGTTGTTTTAATGGAATTTGATAAGGCAGAATGGGAGAAAAAACATCTGTTTTTCGCTGTGTTTGTCTGGGGTAATGACTCGGTAGGTGCAAAGTGTCAAACAGCCCTGTGCGTATAAAATATCCTGTCAGTGAAAATCCTACACGACAGTAATATTAAGGTGTTTACATGTCTGTACTGGACTTTAATAATGCGACTAAAATCGAAAAGCATCTTGATTTGATTTCTGTTATATTCGATTATCGATTATCACCTTAATCGGATTACATTCATCAAAAATGGCTGTTTACATGGTGGACTCTTACCCAGAGTATTGTCTTAATCGTCTTAAAATGCGATTATTGGTGTCCATGTAAACATACTCACTGTTGGTAAAAATATGGCTCAAAAATTGGTTATTCACCAATACGATTTTAATACGATTAAGACAACACTCTGATTATAAGTCTATTAAAGTAAACAGGTGATTTTTAATTAATTTAATCTGATCAAGGTCATAATATCATGGAGTATGCCGATTTTAGTCGCATTATTGAAGTGCAGGACATGTAAACACCTTAATCAAACTATTACCGTCATGTCGCTGCATTTTGCAACAGGATAGTTTATTCACACGGCTGTTTGACTCAACATTAAGAAGCTTCACCAACTGAGTCAGTAAAGGACCACAGACACACACAATGCGAAATGCTGAGGTTTTTTTTTTTTCCATTGGGAGTGCGGTATTAAATTCCATTAAAACAACATTGTTTCAGCAGTCCTTACTAAATTCATCCAATACGTCAGTTTGTCATAAGGGGACATGAATAAACTGTTCCTGAATGAAAGTGATACTGCCGGACTGCAGTTAAAATTGAAAAATAAATAATGAAACATGAAATTACATGAAACTCCGGAGGAAACGTGATGCAATGACATTAATCCAACTATGTGTTATAACATGTAAAACAGGATCATGAAAGGAAGATTCAAGAAGCAACTCATGTAAACACCCTGATCATATTAACGTCTTATTCAGATTAAGGCAAATAATTTGCTTACTGATGTCCATGTAAACCTAGTCACAATTGATGAAAATATGGCACAAAAATTGGTAATAACTTGCCAAGACTTTTTATTATAAAATTTATTATTTCAAACTACAAAATGTCAATCAAATTAACTGTTAAACTGTGGTTAAATATAAGTCTTATTAAAAAGTTAAAGAGGTCTCAAACTAAATAAATGCAAAATATGTGATCATAAAATACAGTTGTTTTTTTTAACATATAATAACAAAGCCTATTTCTGTGATCTCTTCCATATTATTTAATTTGTTGACTTTACCAAAAATGTGTGTGGAAAAGTATCAACATATGTTTGAGGGCTGCAAACAAACCGTCATCCTTTACACCCTTATAAAAACAAGTCTTTACAACAAACACACACCGTCTGAAAGCTGCGGTCAGATTTGGCTGTTAAAACGACCGTCACGGTGACCAAAAAAAGCACAAATGACT